TTGATATCAGAAAGCTGGCTCAAACCCGAGCTTCTTTCTACCTCTTACAGCCTACCTGGGTTTATCTTAATCCGGAATGACCGAATAGGCAAGAGAGCTGGGGGTGTTGCTATTTTTCTTCGAAGTGACATTCCTTTCAAAATACTATCTTCCTCTCCATCCCTTTACAGCGGCACGCCGGAAAGTTTGGTCCTTGAGGTGGACGTCAAGGGGGTTACGGCTGTTCTTGGAGTGGTTTACTGCCCACCTGCTATCAACTATTTTTCTCATTTAGAAACCCTCTTCGATACTTTTTCCTCAGAGTATAAGCATCACATAATCATGGGGGACTTTAACACTGATCTAACAAAGTCTACTCCTAGGTCTCGTGGATTGAGGTCGATCCTTGATTCGTCGAACCTTTCACTTCTCCCATTAAACCCAACCCATTGCAATGTTGGATCCGACGATTCTTGGCTCGACCTCATGCTCGTGTCCTCCCTGGATCTTGTCATTAACCATGGACAGGTCGCGGCGCCTGGTTTGTCAAGGCACGATTTGATCTACTTATCGTATAAAATCAAGCCTCCTAGGCGGCGACCGGCCTTCGTACATATTCGGAACTTTGCGAGGATAGACAAGGTTAAACTTAACAGCGATGCTCAATCCATTGACTGGACCGACGTGTATCAATCACCTTCCATTGACGACAAAGTTAAACTTTTAAACAAGTCTGTCTTTGATCTTTTGGACTCTCATGCGCCTTTGAGGGCTGTACGTGTCAGGCGTCCTCCGGCTCCTTGGATCACTCAGGGGGTTCGAATGGCTATGAGGCGTCGAAATAGGGCTTTCTGCAGGTATAAGAGGGATCGTAGTGAGGAGAACTGGGGATTGTACAGGATGGCGAGAAATCGGTGTAATCAGATGGTGAGAGCTGCCAAACGCCGATACATTTTTGATAATGTTCAGAATTCTTCACAGGCTGACGTATGGAAGTTCTTGAAAACTTTGGGCGTTTGTAAGACTTCATGCAGTGTTTTGCCTCCGAACCTTTCACTAAATGACCTTAACTTGCATTTTGCTACATCGTCCGGTTTGGCAGACGCCATTAAACTCCAAACCATTTCCGAAATAACTTCCAAGCCTATATCACTCCCTGATACTTTCTCATTTAGTCCCGTGACTGAACTTGAGATCCGACGAGTTTTTGCATCGGTTAAGTCCAGGGCGGTGGGCTGCGACGGGGTGGGCCGAACCATGATTTCCGTAATCATCGACTACTTCCTCCCCATTTTTACTCATATAATTAACTTTTCATTATTTAACGGTGTATTCCCCTCAATCTGGCAAAAAGCACATATTATTCCACTTCCTAAAATCCCTAATCCCTATCAGGCCAAAGATTTTAGACCCATTTCGATCCTCCCCTACCAATCAAAGATCCTCGAAGCAGTTGTTCACAAACAAATCTCCTCCTACATCTCAAAACACAAACTTCTGTCTTCTTTCCAATCTGGTTTTCGGCCCGGCCATAGCACCTCTACCGCCTTGCTGAAAGTCACTGAGGATGCGAGGTATGGTATGGGGGACTCGAGGTTAACTGTGTTGGTTTTAATCGATTTCTCCAACGCTTTCAATACGGTCGACCACGATGTCCTCCTAGCCATGCTAACTCAGTCTGGATTTTCGTTATCGTCTCGGGAGTGGTTCTCAGCTTATCTTCGTGGTCGCCAGCAGGCGGTTCGCGTTGGTCAGGAACACTCTGACTGGTGCGGGCTGACGGCTGGGGTACCGCAAGGCGGTATATTATCTCCTCTGTTGTTTTCTTTATTTATTAATTCTATCACTAGTCGTCTCACATGCTCTTATCATCTGTATGCCGATGACTTACAACTGTATGCTCAGGCTGGTGCAGCTGACTTGCGGATCTGTATTGAGCACCTTAACGCCAACTTGGTTACTATTGAAGATTGGTCCAAGAAGTATGGAGTCACTGTGAATGCTGGTAAGTGTCAGGCCATTGTGTTGGGTAGTTCCTCTTATTTAAACCGTTTGAATATTAAACACCTTGAGCCAATAATATTCAATAAAGTTGTCATACCGTTGTCTCCTTACGTAAAGAATTTGGGCCTATACCTGGATAGTAGCCTCAGCTGGAACCAACACGTTGCGCAGGTTAGTAAGAAAGTCACTGCTACGTTGCGATCTCTCTATCGCTTCAAAAACTTTCTGCCCTCAAATACAAAAGTGCTACTGGTCCGGTCCCTTGTGCTTCCTGTGATTGATTATGCTGATGTTTGTTACTCTGACCTATCCCAAGACCTTCTGAATAAGTTAGATCGAATGCTCAACAACTGTATTCGGTTTATCTTCGGTCTTCGTAAATACGATCACATTTCTTCCTTTCGCGCTCAACTTAAATGGCTTCCTATCCGTGAGAGGAGATCTCTCAGATCTCTTTGCATGCTCTTCTCTATTCTAAACGATCCTTGTGCTCCTGAATACCTAAAGTCTTGTTTCCAGTTTCTGGGGAGTTCTCACAGCCGTAATCTCCGTTCAGCCGAAAATCTGATTCTTGAGATTCCATCCCACCGAACATCCTTCATTTCTAACTCCTTCACAGTCTATGTTATTAAGTTGTGGAATGCACTACCGCTTAATATAAAAAAGGCTCCAAATAAAATAACTTTCAAACGCTATGTTTATGAATTCTACTTAAAGTCACTACAACGCTGAGTCTCGGTCTTTATCTATTATATATTAGTATGTTTATTGTATATGTATTGTTGCAGAAATTATTTATGTAGTATATATTACTTATATTAACATATATTTAGGTAGTATTTAGAAGTAAATATTTTGAGTATCTATGTTGTAAAGTCTATGTATGTTATTTATTCCTTATAATAATTACACATGCCTATTTTATCGCCGATTTCCTATTTAACCCTAAGGTTGACTGGGAGAGAATGCCATATGGCATTAATGTCCGCCTTATGTACCATCACTTGTTTTGTGTACATTAAAGTTTAAATAAATAAATAAATAAATAAACAACGAGAGGGTCAGGCGGACTCGTACCTGCTAAAAACACCGCAGTGTTCGTCCTCTGCAATATAATTGTGATTTTATTTTTATAGACTGTAGAATGGTCTGGTATCAAGTTCCCTGAGGCTCGTGGAACAGGTGTATGGATGCGGTCACAACGGATGAAGCTCCCTCCTGGTGTTGGACAGCGGAAAACTAAAGCCATTGAACAAGAATTACGACTTATGAATATAGGTTTGTTTATTTAAAAATTTGGAAGAGTGTTAGGATGTGTCTACAAGATAAAGTTGGTTGAGTTGGTTAAAACGATGGTCCATTCAACTTTTCGTTATTTTTTTTTTATGAGATAAGTCGGCAAACGAGCAGACGGATTACCTGATGGTAAGCAATCGGCGCCGCCCATGGACACCCGCAACATCAAAGGAGTTACGAGCGCGTTGCCGGCCTTTTGGGGATAGGGGTTGCGGATATAAGGATTGGGAAGGGATAGGGGAAGGGGAGGGATTGGGCCTCCAGTAACCTCACTCACACGGCGAAACACAACGCTGTGGGTTGGTTCACGCCGGTATTCTGTGAGGCCGTGGTATCAGCCCGGTCGAGCCGACCCATTCGTGCCGAAACAAGTTTACGTGGACATTGTGAGATCGTATTAAGTAGGTACTAGGTTACAATTCCATACCCACTCTAATTCTTTGTCTGACCCAGAATCAGTTCAGAAGTTGAAGTCTCGAAATCCCCGTTGCCAAGCTTAGTTATAAATAGAGCTAAGTTACAAATCTACTACTACTACTATCTTACTTCTTAAATCAAATCAAATGTCATTATTATCCTCATTTTAACATGATACACACAATAAAAAGAAACCTAATAATTTTGATATTTATGTTAATTTACAGATGTGGCACCTACACCAACAGAAGCCATCTGTAAACATTTCAATGAGCTACGTTCTGATCTTGCTCTAGCACTAGATTTGAAGAATGCTTTAGCATCTTGTGAATTTGAACTGCAAGCGTTGAGACACCAGTATGAAGCTCTCAATCCTGGAAAGGTATGTATGATGTAATATGCAATTCCGGACTTCAGCAGCTATTAATTTATTTAAGAAAACTGTGATTAAAACACACTTTCTAAATGACTTAAAAATAGCCGTGCTCACTTTTATTCTTTCAATATGGCTATTTGTCACGTGTTTTTTCAGTGTTTGACACTTTCTCAGTAGAAGAACTGAGAAAATTAAAAAACAAAAAAAGCATACTTCTGTCTTTTAGGCCTAAATCTCCGAAATTCTAATCCCCAAAACGCCGGTTACGAACTCTGGTGTTGTGGGTGTCCATGTCCAAATATTATTCAATATCATCTTAATATATTTTTGTTTTATTGTTTCAGACACTCACCATTCCACCTTCAATCTGCAATATGGCAGCAGACAATGACACCAAGCCAGTAGGTGAAATTATTGATGTTGTTGGATCTCCGAGCGCATTGAATTCAACCATCTAGTATTATGTAGTGGTCACCAAGACAAGTAACGAGTCTCCAGAGTGACATGATGTGTTTTAAAGCAATGCAATGCTTCTAATGTTATTATAAATTAATTATTAGGAAGAGACATTTACTGTTTCCTGTACTACATTCAAACTATTCTGCTTTTAAGATTATATAAAAAAAAAAACATTTATAAGAAAACTTTTTATGCAGACTTGTCATATGCTTAGTAACTAGTAGTACCTTTATAAACTGTACTATAGCAGAGATAAATGTAACTAGCCACAAAGGTCACAGATTTTACAGCATTATATAATCCGAAAGAGTTATTACCACAGTTAACAAATTTGTTGAGTCATAATACTACTACCCTTATGGTTGGTTTATGAATAAATCGTGTTAGTTTAATATAAGTGTTAGTTTAATATAAGACTGGATCTCGTCAAGTTGTATGAAAAAATGTAAAGAAATAAAAAACAGTAAATTTCTTAAATTATTTTTATTTTATCTTAATACTAAATTGCTCCCTTGGGAGCTCCATATGCATCTGGCATCCTCTCAATGGTGTACTTGTGTTCAGCAACATACATAATTGGTACACCTGGTATTTTTCTTATTCTTCGTTTCAAATCTTTATCATTTGTAGCAACAATATAACACTTATGTTGAGTTACTCTTTGAACAATACAGTCATCAGCATATGTACCTTTATGTAAACAAGTGATCCTTTCGAACCGTGGGTCTTTAATAATTCTTAATGCTACACGGTATTTGCGACCAAGTTTCTCTAATTCTGCTAACACACAATCTGTTATGTATGGTATGCATTTGGCATACAAACAGTCCATCATACTCTGAACTATGTCTAATTTATTTTTAATAGAAAAGTTTATGAAGTTGGTATCAATTAGAACGTGGTAAGGTGGACCAAGTTGCGTGTTATATTGAAAGAATAAAGCTGAACTTGTCTGTGGCGCTTCACGGATTTTTAACTCATGAGGATCTATCTTTTTCTTCTTGGGTTCAATTCTCTCTGTAGGTTTGATTCTGCTATCACTAAGGCTTATCAGTTTCTTCATTTTAGCAAACTTTCTTTCAACAATTTTTCTGGTTTTACGCTGTTTCCCCTGAAACGTAATATATTTTTATGTTATAAACCACTATTATTACACAGGAGTTAATTTTGAGTTAAGTATTACATAACTACACTTACCATTTTTAAGAATAACTTGTACTATTTCTGTGTATTTAAAGATTTTACAATTAAAAACAAATAAAATAACCTTAAATCTCAACAACAACACAATGAGGTTATGAATTTATGATGACAGTCATAGACTACACAAATTATCACAGATAACAATAAACCAACAGAGACAATATATACATAATAGATTTCAGTCTGAATTAATTAGGCATGTGCCGGATATCATCGTTACACTTCAAGTAATAGGTAAGGTATCACACAAATAAATATTTTTAGGTGACAATTAATTATTGTTCTTGCGTGAACAAATAACAGGTATAGAAATAAGATAACAGTTTTTTTAGAATTAATATATTAACGTATCGTGTTGGACTTTCAAATGTTTTGATCAAATCGAGGCGTTCTGTTGCTACACGACACGTTATTCTACAGTAATATGCTACTGGCTACACGATAAGAGTTCAAACCACAATCATGGATAAATAACTACTTTCTGCTGCGGTTTTTTATTAAAATGTTTTGAGAAATTACTTCATCTAATAAAATACCCCGGGTTCTTCCATAAAAAAAATGTAATGCCTGGCATAGACTGTTAATTTTTCAGTTTTCAGCTGTCATTTTTGACATTGACATTTATATTTCGAACAAGTGTGTCGGACGGAGTGTTTTATTTCAACAAAATGTCCTCACAATTATCTGCTCGGGAATTACTTGAATTAGGTGATGAAGGGAGAACAAAATCTGTATTGACTAGATTCTGGCCAGAGGTACTTGGCACCTTTTTTGGAGTGGGCGTCGGAACATTTATTAACTTCCAAACACGACGTCCCCCTTTTAGTGGTAAGTCGAAATTACATAACAAAAACAGAACAATAACACATCGGTTTTTTGTTATTATAATTTTTGCAATTCTTGCGCTTAATTGTAAGATCGTTCGACCATCGAACCGTGCTTGGTATTTTTTTTCTTTTCTGAAAATCAAACCTAGCTATATTGATTTTCAGTCTCTTTGACATACCACAATGTTATTATAGTAATTTAGTTGGCAAAAAACTTTATGTCCTTAAATGTGCACACTCGGTCTGAAAGGGTTAAATTTTTATCCAATTTGTGTGAGCTGTTTTCGAGACCCGGTGAATATGTTAAAGATATCTAACGAGTCCTGTGTATATTTAAAAAATATCTAATGACTAGATAGACATTAGCAAAGAATTTGTAGTCATTTTAAATACTCATAAAAATATTACTAACACGATATTATTCAATAATTTCAGGAATTCAAAAGCATATTTTCCTAACTGCCGGACTAGTGGCTGCTTTCACCTACTTGCAAAAGCATAGAGATAGTTACTTTGCAGAAAAAGATGCAATACTGAGACATTATCTAGAGTTACACCCTGAAGAGTTTCAAGAACCTCGTAAGTTATATTTAACTGAATTTATCAACTCATTGCATTGGTACAATTTATTATTAATTATACTAAAAACAATAGGTGTGCAACTGCCAGTGTTCACCTGGGCTTTCATTGAATTAACTATAAATTTGGTATACCTAGTTGTTTAGTTAAGGTTATAAACTTAGATATCATATTTCAGCTCATAAAAATTGTATCAAGGTGTTATTTATGAGCTTTAATGATTAATTCATCAAACCCCTAGCAACCACTGGGGTTTGTGCACCTATTCTCTTACTATGATGTGAATAACCATGACTAAACTGCTTATACTATCAACATGGTGAACTCCATACTGCCATAATATTAAATCATACTTTGGAGTCACATTACATTTTGTTCGATGTGAAATAGAAGTCAGGAAGACTAGAATTTTACTCTAAGCCAAATTTTATTTAGATCAATTCAATAGTTTTTGTGCCTAAAAGTAATACACATCTATCCTCACAAACTTTACATGTAGAACAACATATCTTGTAAAATTATAAAATTTATATTATCAATAAATATACAAAAACACATTACTAGTTCTCAGTGTATTATTGAAAATGTCATTATTGTTTTCCTAATATACTTTAATATTTTTCTATTTCAGCTCGCAAGAAGATTGCCGATATCTTTGAGCCATGGGTCCCAGTGCGTTAAAAATACCTTTATGTTATTTAGATAAATAATTAGATTATGTGAATAAAACAAATATTTCATTTAATACAAAATATTTATTCCTGTTTGATACAGTTCTGAGCATCTTGGTTGTTTATGTACTTTTTGGCCATGTAAAAATAAATGGAATGCAAATAATATTCTAGATATTTTCTTTTCTTTGAAGAATTAACTTTAATTGTATAAACAAAAAGGATTTAATGAGACAGCCCATAGATTTTTGAGTGAATATTTTCATGGTCCTTATGTTGATGTAAATAATGTTGGGCTAAAGCAGTCACATAATCAAATCCTTCACCGCATATAGCACAGTTGTGGACCTCAAAAACTTTAGTTGGATATTGGTGAAACATTTCCTTTGTTTTCTGTTCAAAAGGCATCAGTGGCTGGTTCTCAGGAATAACTGGCAGATTCTGCTGTGGTTTTTCATTGATCAAATGTGGTATTAGATGGCCAACATCTTTCATTGGTGGCTCTTTGCCTACATCTATTCCTATAATATCAATGTTGCCACTGTTGTTAAATCCTTCATTTTGAAGCTTAGAATTCTGTTGGACTATTTGATGCTTTTTCAGTTTGTGTAATTTCTGCAAAGGAAACCGAATTCTTTAATGTAGAATTATATTATTATTATATTATTATTATATAAATGTGACAAATAATGGGTTTATACTTACAAGGTCTCTAGAATGTACATAGGCAGCTCCACATAGATCACATTTAAAGTTTCTAATTCCTCTGTGTTTATTCATATGTCGTGTCAACTCACTTGAAGTAATAAAACTCTTGTTACATATAGAACATTCCTAAAAATAATTAAAAAAAATATATCTAACATGTTGAAGAAAAACCTTACAAATTGTTATGGTAAGCAGTCACCCACACTAGCATATGGCATACTTACATGATCTCTTTGACCAGTATGAATTTTCAAATGAGCATGAAGATTTCCTTGCGCCGAGAATCTTTTGCTGAAACAAATTTGGAATTAAATAAATTTTACAATGACGCAAATATTACTTACTAACTGGTATGTATGGCTACGTCATAACATCTAGCTGCATGTCAAATTTCAGCCCAATCAATCCATCCAGTGGTTTGGGATGTGTGTTTATGGATCACTATGTCAGTCAGTCACCTTTGAGTTCTATATACTTAGATTGTAGACAGAGAATAGAGGACTTAGATTTATATAATATGATTAAGTATTTTTTTCTTAATTTAAAATTTACAAGCTCATTCTTTTCCATAGAACTACATTGAAGAACAAGCAAATAGTGTCACTAAGGAACTCATTCACAGGCAGTTTTAATAAAACATAAGTAGGTTTTTTTTACTATGATAATTATGTGTATTTGCAAAAAATTAAATATAATATATTTGTTACTATTACATTACCTGCATACTTCACATTGAAAAGGTTTCTCACCAGTATGTATCCGGAGATGTATGGTAAGATTATGTTTCTGCGTGAACCTTCGAGGACAATACATGCACACAAATGGCTTATCTCCGGTATGGGTCCTGGAAATGGTTGAGTATGTTTTTTAATTAAGAAACATATTATAATTTAATAAATGCAGTGAGTAAAATATTAAAAGATTTGAAAGAGGTGATAATGAAGAGTTTTATTTACTATTCCAACAATCTTAGCCATAGCAAATTAATACCAACCAATGATTAATTAGTTGTGACATAGTCATAGTCTTTGGACAACATTAAGTACTAGGTAGGCACTACTTTGACTATAATATACCTATTGCCTGCTGGTAGCAATCTCATTATTTTATTATCTGTGACAACGAAATATTTTATCATACATGAAGCCAGTCTTCTTAATCTGGTAATAACTGGTCTTAAAGGGAGGCTGTGGCTAGATAAGATCCAGATGATGACCAATTTAAATTAAAAAGACGAAAATTGCTTTTCTTTTACTAAAGTCAATACAAAAAAGGAGTAAAATATGAGAAATGCTCTGCAATACATACCTGACATGCATTTCCAATTGTGCCTGACATCTGAACTGCTTATCACACTGATAACATTGGTGATCTTGTTTGGGCTTTGGTTTAGGACCTCTTTTCATTTTCTCAGATTCAGATTTCTTTTTATAATTTGTTTGTCTCTTTGGTTCTTGCTGTTTGCATTTACTGTAACAATAAATAAGTATTTATTTTTATGGAATCTTTATAATAAGGCAAGAAAAATAAAATGCAAACTTACCATTTCTTTATTATTGTTGTATGTGTTGGTACCTGAAATAATATTTTTGGGTAAATTATTTTAAATGTTATAAAGTGTTACAAAAATCGTACAGTGTTGATTTGGGAAAGAGCAGTGCTTTCTAGGAGTTAGGATAATAATTTGATGATTTTGGTCCAACCATATATCCAGTTAGAACTTTAGACAAATAACTATAAGACTAAACCTGTTTCTTTACTTACAAATGGATCAGTTGCTACACAAGCATCATTGTATCTGTAAAATAAATATTTACTTTTTGTAATACATATAAAATTATTAAAGTCTTAATGCTTAAGCTTAGTGTTGACCTCTTAATATTATACTTTTAGCCATAGTGTAACAGCATATTTATTCACGTCATAATACTCACTTGCTTGGTATTCTCAGCCCTAAATATTGTCTCAGTCTTATATCAGCGCTTTCACAAGTTTGTTTGAAATGATAAGCTATACCCATTTTGTAAATACAATTACTGCATACTTGTTCCGGCAAACCATCATCTTTACTTATCTATAACATAATTGGAGTACTATTTTAGTACCTATCTTAGCGAATTGGTTAGGATTTCATTTAGAAAAGTTTAATTGTTCGCATATTTAAACCTGAGATTTACCTTTATATTACAACAATATTCTATCATATCACATAGTGATATATTATAATTTTTGGTAAATACAGACGAAAGAACGCCTTCTTCTAGACATATTCGACAAATTTTATTCATTACTTTATAAAAGATATGTGACCCGATATTCAATGGCCCGTAATAAATACAAAAACAAACTCTTTTTCGTCAGTGATTTACCAACTGTCAACAACATCAACAATCAACAGAGAGTAAAAAAATTCAATGGGATAGGGGTTACCTACTACAATTTTACCGTGCCATAGAGCATAGGAGGATTTCAGAAATTCTAGCTTATCCGCAGATGCCCTAAATCAGAATATTATTTACCTAATTAATATCATTTGGTCAATTTATGTAAGTCAATTTTGATAGATAGATTATTAACATCTAATTTAGTATATAAGAAACGATTGAATTGATAAATAACACAAGATATGCAAGTGGTACATATGTTCCATCACTAAGTAAGAGTCCCATGCAATAAGTGAGTGAGTATCAAAGTGCCGTAACTGATCTCAATATCATTAATAAAGTTTGTTAAAAAATATTTTTGGGAAACACAAAACTCAATAATGTGAATTTTTAGAATGGTTTTTGATTGGTTAGTTTCCTGGGTCAAAAATAAATTAATTCGACGTTTCAATACAATAAAATATTGAAAAATATCTATACTTTTATTCACTAAGACTACGATACACTAAGTTTTAGATATTCTGTAGCTAATTATTAGGAAATAAGTAAGCTATTTGACGCAAAAATACTATGACGTCATAACTCAGTTTTTCATACAAATTTCATAGAAAAGTATAGTTTTTTGGATAAAAGGATTGAATTTGACTAGTTGGATACTACCGTAATAAACCTTGGAAACATGAATCTGTTTGCTCAGCAGATTAATAGATACAAAAAGTGAGATAAATATTTAAAAAATGAAATACTGATGCTGTTTTAAGAGTAAATATTTAATTATTTCAACCACAATAAAATTAAAAGATAAACATAATAGCAACTCATTACCTTACTATAAAAATATATGTAAACATTTGTTAACATAAATAATATATTATTATTAAAAATATGCATATTTATTTTAAAAAAGATAACGAATAATTGAACAACCAATTAACTATTAGTACTTCTCATTCATCTAACATAATTATATAATTATAAACATAAGCATACAATCAGTACATTTACTAACAGTTAATGAATCTTTTTTATAACTTACAGTTACGTCGATATGGATGACACTTATTTCATATTTAACTTTAATAATTGCGAATTTTTATTCTTAAGCTAATAATGACAAAGGAAAAATTCTTACAAAGGCACAGGTGGTAAGTTGCACAGGAATATGCAATTAGTTTTAAAGTACTCTAATTTGCTGAGTAGCATGGAAGGAAGAGTACTAAATATTTAGGTAGATATGAATATTTTTTAAATGCGTTTTGTAGTTTTTAAATCACAATTTAAACGTTAGCGACAGCTGTAAGGAGTTTAACGTAAATATCAATGCCTTTTAAAAATATGTCAGCTTTTAGAAATTCGTCGTGATCGTGGAGAAGAACCGGTGTATGGTTCATGGGAGAAAAGCCCAAAGCTGGTATTCCAACGTCACGGACGTATCTGCTGTCGGTACCACCGGGGAAAATTCTACAGTCGAGTTTGAGTTTTCTGAAAAAAATATAACATTGATTAGGTACCTATGTGCTATTCGACCATTAAATCATTATTTAGGTATTTAAACAGAAACAAAAAATAATGAAAATAGGCGGTAGTAGTAAAAACAGAACGGGTCCACATAAAATATTGTGGTTCTTTCTTTAAAAGACCACTAGGTATAGAATGAAAACTGAAAAAAATGTTGAGACTTTAAAAGAGACGGAGTTTGTTTGGGCATTTCTTCTCAGAGAAGTCAGATAGGAAATGCCGGCTTCATCTAGCTTTTTATATATAATTTTGACAGATAAATGTACAGTTGTTTGTATTCTGTGATAAATTATGCATGTTTGATACTTACAACTCATCAGCGGCAGCTTTGAAAGCTAGCCAGAAAGGGTTACTTGCATCCAGTTTCGTCACTTCAACATAATGATTTTTCTGTTCGAAATCGAAAGTGACGCCATCCCCTGCTTCCTTGCACCACTTATTTATCTAAAACAAATGCATTATACATCACATTTTAAATCTTTATATGTTATTGGCTACGTTCTGTAAACATTTTTGAGTGTGGGAGAGCCATGCTTTGGCACGAATCGGTCGACCGGAGTGATACCACGGCCTCACAGAAAACCGACGTGAAACAACCACTGTGTTGTGTTTCATCGTGTGAGTTAAGTTACCGGTGACCCAATCCTCCCCCCCAATCTCCAAATCCCTAAACCCAAGAAGGCCGGCAACGCACTCGTTACTCCTGTTGCGGTTGTCCATTGGCGGCGCTGATTGCTTACCATTAGGTCTGCTCGTTTGACGACCTATTTTATAAAAAAAAAACATATAAACTGAAAGAAAAGATTTTACCATGTCTTCAAATTCCTCATGGTTAACCGTTACGGCCAATCGAATGTCAAAGACTGCAGTCAATTTCTCAGGAACAACATTCGATTGTACACCTCCCTGTAATCAATTAGAAAATAATTCATCAGATGACCCTTGAAGTTTAACAATGTAGGTTTAAATGATTGTTTTCAAACAAACACTCTAATTTTAAGTGCCCAGATTTGAATACCATTTGGCCCACTTACCACTTATCATATTTAGTGGATAGCTTGAAAATAAATAAGGCAAAATAAATAAAAACGAATATATATATAGTTCGAATAACAACGTCTATAGGTACAAGAACTTTCAAAACTTAACAAAAACAAAATCAATATACACTTAAGATAGACAGGGAAGTCATATAATCATTTCACTCTTCTACCACTTACGTATATTTGAGTCAAATTTATTGTAGTCACGTCACCAATGGTCAGTTTTGGATTGCTGTCCAATATCTTTTTCTGTTCAGCTCTTAAATCCATGAATTTGTCAATAATGTATCTCAACTGAAACAAAAATTAATACTAAAGCACCAATCTTGTAGCCTCAAAGAGTCAATAGACCACCACAGACGGGACACTATAGAGCTGATGCTGAGCCGGGATTGAGGGGTAAGCGCAATGAGGCACTGCGACCTCGGCCCTTAGCAGGAGAAGGAACGGGGGGGGGGGGGGGGGTTTCAGTCAGTAAGAGTCTGACACTTCCTTGAGGAGAGATTCCTTGAGGAGAGATTCCTTGAGGAGGAGTCATTTGATGGTTTTCCCCTCACCAAAAAAGCCAATATGTACAGTATAAAATCATATCGGTGTCAACATACATTATTAATTGAAGTTTGAGCTATTAAGCTTTACTTTGTGAACAATAATTAAAAAAGTATGTTATAAGTATGTATTTACCTAACAGGTTGCTGAGTAAAAGCAATGAATTATGTAAGTGGTCTTAATTCCCAGTTTCTTCTGAATTTCTAAGTGACATTATTAATTTGAGACGGGTCTCTGATGGTTTCACAAAATAATTTGTTAACAGCCGTGTCATATTTATCATTAACTAGCTGCCCGCCCCCGATTCGCACGCGTTCAACTATCTCAAGGTGTCTATCAAAGGGTCACTTTTTCCTAATCTTCCCCTCTACTTTCCTATTTTTTTCTTTGATAAGAACCTTCTCCTGACAATAACAAACACAACAAAACATGAATTAGCAAAATTGTTCCAGGCGTTGTTGAGTTATGCGCTTACCAAAACATTTTGCGATCCATTTTTTATATATAAGATAACTACCTAGTTACCTAGTTAATGCAATTAGAGAAATATTAAGTACCTAAATTTATGTTTTGTGACAGTGTTCGGAAGATAACAGTTATCTAAAATGAATTAAAAAAAATCTTTGTAATACCTTTTCGCCTGCGGTGTTGGGCAGTAATAATGATCCATGGCCAGGTTGTCCAGTGCAATGCACGTGAATTTCTGAAAGGAAAATAATTTAGACATTTAAAAACCAATAAATACATAAGCCAAATCTGAGAATGTTTCTCCTTTTATATTGTAGGTTGTCCTACATACGCCAAATGCTCCTTTCGCCGTTAAACAGTACAAAATCTTCATTGGGGCTCGCCATTCCTTCATCCAAAGCAAATTCTACGTTCAAGTCTTTGAAATCTTTAGTATGGACGAATTTCTCCATGCCATCGTGACCGCCAATTTCTTCATCTAAAACATATCAAATTTATAATGTCATAAGGAGTTTCAATTTGGACACAATCTGCACTTTTTAATTTGTGTAGTATAAGTTATGAAACGGATATTGTAATAGCCAGAGCTACTAGCAGACTGCCCCTGCTTCGCACGGGTACCCGACTACCCTGGTGCCAGTCATTTGTTTTGCAAGCGAACGACCACGGCGTCGAAAGGGTTGTTAATTACCGCTATTCCCCTTTACTTTTCTAAAGTTTTCTCTCGTAAGAGCCTAAAAGCATAAGCAAAATTGGTCCAGGCGTTATTGAGTTATGCGCTTACCAACACATTTTCCGATTCATTTTTATATTATAGATAAGTTTATGTAGGTTTATGGTATACTGCTTATACATAAAAACTTGTATCTACCGCTGGATTGTCTCTGCATCACCTAAAGGTACTGACTGACCGATAGACCAATAGACCGATTGATAAACTGACCTTAACCCGCTTTATGTACAACTAGCTACTCTCGCGCAGTTTCACCCAATGCTAGGCTCCATTTAATTGTAGCGTGATGTTTTATAGTATAGCACTCAGGAATATTGTAGCTATCTATCAGTGAAAGAATTTTGTCAATCCGCCCAGCGGTTCCAAAGATTACCCCCTACATGCAAACTTACAAATTTTACCTCTTTATAATATTAGTTCAGTATAGATGTTATGCATGATGCATGAATTCATTAAATAAATAAGATCAGTCTAATGTTTACAACATTTACTTACCAGGCACGAAACAAACGTGTAGAGTCCTTTTTAATTGTACTCCAGCTGCCTTCAGTTTTCTTATCGCCTCTAAGTATTGAATACCAACACACTTCATATCCTGGGAGCCACGGGCGTAGATCTTTCCGTCTTTATCAATGTGTCCGCTGAATGGAGGATATGTCCAACTATTCTGTAAATTATGTTTTATCAGATTTGTTAATAGTTTAACCAGTTTGCACCAGCCTAAGTGTGTTCCCTATTCTATTACCACAATTCTGATTAGGTATTCTTTTAGGTAAACTGATACAACTGGATAGGCATCAGATGCTGAAGAGTTTTGAGTCTAAGACAGTAGATTGTTGATATTGAGTTGATTAGTAGACTCTGAATCAATAGTATATTGAGTTCTTTACTTCGAAAGGGAGAAAACGGAACCCTTATGGGAAATTAGCTAGAGCTGTTTAGAATGGCCTGGGAATAGAAATCAAGACTAACATAGCACTGCGTTGAACCATAATGTAAATACTTAAATGCATACTAATTAAGTACCTAAATAAAGATAGCGTGATGCTGTAATAGTTGACAATAAACTTTTCCCAACAACATTGTTATCTAACGATGAAATTATTACTACTGACAATTACAGAGATGTTTCTCTTCTGACTTATCGATATTTGTCTTGATATGATAAACACCAAAGAATAGTCGGTAAGTAATTATTTGAGTTACTTTATCTATGTGCAAAGAAACACTTACTTCAAATACAGGCACGACATCCATATGAGAATTCAGCAAGATTGATCCGAGTGATTGGTCTTTGCCTGGCCATGTTAAAATAACTATGGGTTTGCGTGGAACTAATTCGTATACTTTCACGGCGAGGCTAAGTCCATTAGCCTGCTTTTTCAGAAATGCTACACAATCATCTGCAATAATAAAGTTATTTTGTTTGGTACGTATAAAGAACACGGGGTTCAACGTATGACCTTGACATTTCGTGGACAGGTACCGTCGTTTAGTTGAGGAAAGTTCTTTGTGTAAAATCTATTTAAATTTCGAAAACTAAAATACCGGTGTTTTATAAAGTTAGAACCAATGATATTTTAATTGAAAAGGTGTAGATAGGTTACAATCGCTCAGCAAGTGATACATTAAAATGTGGCTAAGTAGCCACACCTTTTCATATTTACCTCTTTTTCACTCGCGATTATTGTATCATGCTATCCCACTTTAACGTGTATTATACGATTTATTCATGTGTGCATAAGTGTGGAGTTTTTGAAAATCGAATGTTGTTTATGTAACCCATCTATAGCATTTTACTTATTTTATCATTGGTTAGAACTAAGAAAATAATATTTGAAACTATAGTTGTAGTCTAAGTTGTGTACTTCAACAAAGGAGGGTACCTATCTATCATCCATCTAAATAACTAGGTATGTGGAAGGTTGAACTGAATGCAGTTCCCCTCCCCATAAGCAATCAAACATCATTTTGCACTTGATTAGATGGCCCGTTTGATATGATTCAATTTTAACGGCTGGGGGCAGTCTCAATTGCTAGTAGGTACCTTTATACGTCAATGATACAATCTGTTGTATCCTGAATACGAATAATGTACATAGGTAGTACCAATGTACCTATATATCTATTATGTTCATAGATACATAAAAACGCAGTATGAATTATTTGAGAAAGATAACAAAATTAAGCTGGATAATAATTGTAGAGACAGAATTTTATCATCAACCTGATAAAACCGAGATATTATAAATATTACTTGTAGCCAGTGAAAATATAGCGGCAAAATGATATTTGTTTTCATGCTATGTCCTTGAATTTCTTAGAGGACAATACTGTAATGTGTTTTTAGTTTATGCGGTAGAGCATAAATACATATGGCACAAACTACAAACTTATAAATAAAATTATTGAATCCGCAACACGCGTTACGACTTTGTAGGTAGTTACATAGATGGATAGTAACAAACGTAATTATAATTACTTAAATAAATTATAATTACGTTTGGGCACAGACGAAAATATGATTCCCTTTTAAGTTTAAGTACTAAAAATATGATTCCCTTTTGAGTTTAAGTATACCATAAAGTTCATAGATAAGTTTATTACAATTTACTTACATGGAGTCATGAAAAATACGTTTTATGACGATAACAGTATGAAAATAATGTAATTAAATAAACAATTGTGCTTACCGTAGTTGATGTCAGGTTGAACACTCGGTATTTTCAAATATTCCACGAAATTCGCAATTGCCGGATTATTTTCGTAGTTAGCAGCCATGATACCTACGTTTCGCAGCAAACACTGCAGTGGTAATGATCGCTCACATCGGCCGGCAGCGTAGCCGTCGCTGTGATAACAACCTTCAAGCAAATAATAGGCACTAAGTACCTATGTGCCCACATAAAATTAGTAAGTAGGTAAATAAAATTAATTAGTTGTTGTGTGAATACAAGTTTTGACTTCCGAAATTGTATTTATGTGTGTAGGTACTTAAAAAGAGCTCATGATATAATTATTTCATTCATAAATTATAGACATATAGTTTGTTACCTATTTATAAAAACAATTGTGAAGGAATAAAATATATTATAAGACACATTTCTCGGATACAAAACTAATAATTTAACAAGACATTGAAAAATTCAAATCTCTATGTACCTTTATGTACTTAACAAAAATATTTATACTGAAAAACAAAATCGTTTTAAATTATTCGCGCCAACATAGTCATAGTTTCAGTGAAACTTGCGCACTAACTAGTTCACTAGTTCATTCATTTGAATTATTTATTATTTATGGTAATTGCATTCCATTTGCATTTTTGGCATATTTCATTCATTCATATCTATTTCTAATATTTTGTTTACATTGCGCATTATTGTAATTGCACAATGAATGGGTTGTTTTAGAGTTTTAGACAGTGATGAATTTATTTCATAATTCTACTGAATCACCATTGCCAATAGTTAAATCGGATAAAGTACTTGTAATGTCTACATTATTAAGATTTTTTTAGTTTTAATATTCACTTAAATAATTATATTATGTCAGTACGATGATTTATTAATATCAAGTTTTCGCTTCCCTAACATTATCGATCTCATAGAAAGAAACCAATGTTATTGTTTAGGTCATAACATAGTACGAATAACATTATTTTCAATGACATTTTAACTCGTTGATACATATTTATTAGTCTTGTTTTCTTTGGACAACACAATCTTCAATGATAGCCAATAGGTTAAAACATTAACATCTTAAGCGTAATTTAATCACAGATAAGACACGAGATATAATGTAAAATTCAAACCTTTTGTGTGTTACATTCAACCAGTCGATATCAGTTCTTTTTATAGTTTCTAAGTACCAAGTACCAAGTACTAACAACACAAATGTTATGCCTGCGTGGTTGAATCAACCTGAATCAGCTGAGTTGAATAGGTACTGACATGATAAATTTGACAGGTATAAAACATGTTCCGTTTCAACAAAATAACAAATGCCGAATAATTTTTCGCATTTCTAAAAACTATTGTGTAAAGATTTGCCATTTTTGTCAACATTGTCCTTTATCTTTTAAGAAACATAAAAGTAATTGAGTCATATGAACGACTGAATCCTTTGATGGCAACCCTGTCATAATCGTATTCTGTAACATTGGCTTAAAGGATTTGTATCCAGGCCATAAACTAAAAAAAAATCTGTGACAAACAAAAGCGTTATTTATGCTGCTGTCACTGTCAATACTGTCATAACAAAAAAAAACATTCATTTAATGAAAGAAAGTAGAAAGACGTTACCTACTGAATTTTAAAAGTTTGCCCTTGTTTACTGTGTCATCTAATCAATACTTAAATTCTAAGGCGTTTCTTTTACAATGGATGATAATTATTACGATTTAACTGCTGAATTAGATGCCAGGGAGATATTAAGGTATCTTAACAATCTGGGAATTCATAACATTAGTGGCGAGGTATTGAAGTATTTTATCACAGGTACGTATTTGCGTTAAGGAGGTATTATTGTTTTTATGAAATTAACTATGTTAATATAAACTAGTTATCAGTGTTTTAGGTACTAACTACGCGATTAAATTAGTTGTAAGTTAAGTTTATGCAAACAAGCATTACTGTTTGTTAATTGCATTTTTCACCCAAGTTATACCTTGTACACTCACACGAATTATAATTTTCAGATTTGAAAAAGCTAATTAAGTATGATTTGCAACAGAAGAACCAGTCAAGATCTACAAACCAAGAAAAAGATGAAATACTAGGTCCTGAGAGATTGCACAGTGCTAGCACGTTTTGTTCCCGCCTTAGGTCTAAAGGCCAAGAAAATGTCACACCAAAATGTACCAGAGAGTGTCAAAAGAGTAGAAAAGTGATAGTAAGAAATGTGCATTCGGCACCTAACTTAGGACAGGCTAAAACAGAAGATAAGCCCCTTAGGAGAGCTTGTTCTTGTGTAAGAGTTGAGAAAAAAGTAGAAAAGAAGGCTGAACTAGAGAAAGAAAGAAGTTCCTCTTGTACCGCTAGTAATAATTGTAAGTTTTGATTTTTTATCCATAACATATTTATTTTTAATTTTTAGCTTTAAGCAGTAACAATACATTTAATAATTGTATACATTACTTTCCTGTTTTTTTATAGTATCTGTTGTAAAATTGATTTTTAACCATAGACATTGTATGATTTCAGTGATCAAGGTGGCAAAACAACCTCCTAAAAAGAAATGTGATCCTGTGACATTGTACCATTACTATACCACATTATGGGACAAGTACAAGTCCAATGTACCAGGTGAAAACAACTGGTCAGACTTACGATGGAGTATCAGACAGAAAATGGCTGGAAATATTGTAAAACAAACATCTACAAACAAGGTATTATTGTGTGAATAAGGTTGAATTCATACCGATAATGGAGCAACTAGTTAATTGCACCAGCTCAAATATTATAACGCTGAAGAGGTTGCTTGTTCAAATGTGCTAATCTCGAGAACCACTAGCTAAACTTAAAAGATATTTTTGCTTCAGAAAGTCCATTTATCCGAGAAAGCTATAGGCTACACCTTTATAATATAACAGAATAGTAGCTATGCAGCATTGTTATAAACAATTTACTAAACTAAAATTGTCTCTAGAGCAACTTAATTGTTTACATAAAACGGTTAAGAACTTCGGGTAAATTATCAACATAGTCTTTCGTGATTAACTATGTCTACAGGTTTGGAACCTAGATTATGAATTGTATGCATATTGTAAAACATAACTGGCCTTCCACTTGCAAACTTACCATATTGAGAAAAATCAAGTATCTTATTTGAGGGACTTTCAACATAAGGGAATGTTACATGTGATTTTGCACTAGTCACTATGCATTCAATGTAGAAAAGATATTGCCCTATCAAACCACTTTTGTGGGAAAATGCATCAGAATAATATATCTTTTTATAATAATAAATATATAAAATAAATAATAATTCTGTTATGATATTCATGTCAAAGAATGCTAGCCAGATAAATAATGATGATAAGTTTGCTGCCACCTGGCTCCTATTTTTTATTTTATAATTTTATTTTATTACTGGTGTTGTATATTAATATTAAAATTTTTTTTTATAGAGTATAGTAATGTAATTATATGTGAGTTTAACTAATCTGCAATGAGTTTCAAAAAATTTGTGTTAAAGCATATTCCAATATTTAATTTTATTGTTACAGGTTCCTGATTCACACAGAGACAAGGAACATGGTACTGTTAGATCTTGACATTATCTTTGTGTAATTCTTAATTTTTTTCCAATCAACTGACATGTGAAAGCCTTAATAAGTAAATAAAATATAAGTATATTTTTAATTTTGTATTTTTTTTACTCTACTACTAACAAGTATATAATAACTTAGGTACTAAAAATGGTGTACAGTTTTCACTTTTTTAAATGCTGACATAGATTTTAGAGAACACTTTTTAATATATTGTGAAAATTTTTGTGTATTTAACATTTTTATAAGTATTATCATTCTGGTTTAAATTATAAAATACAACCATATGGCCTCCTTTCAGAAATTTTACACCTGACTCAATTTGAATGGTTGTTGCTCTTTTGTTGTGTTTGCATGCAGCCAGTGTAGAAGCCTTTCTTCAATCTTCTCGGCAGCTGATAATGTCAGTACCAGAGTATCATGTTTTAACATGGAGTATACATTTAGGCCATAAACTGGCATAATGTTTATATGACCCAGTGTGTCTGTTGCTGCCGTTATATTCCTAGGTGCTATATCTGTGCTGAAATTGAAAATAGTACATTTTAGTAGTCAATTTAACACATTCAGTGCACCCGACGCGTATGTGCGTGCGAGGAATCGCACATACGCGTCGGGGGCACAGAATGTGTTAAAGGATGAAAGGTAATTTTGTAACTAGACTATGTATTAAAAAAAAGTCAATTAAGAAAGTATAATAAAGGGCCTTTTGTGATAAGAGACAACAAAGTATACAATGGACAAGCCTACAATTTAATTTCAAGTTTGAAAAAACAATTTTTTCATGTGGTAGTTGTTTTTTTTAAATTTTAAGTGATTATTGGTCAATAATTGAATGGGATATACATACTCATCAACCAGCAGCACAGAAGGTCCCCAGTTCCTCTTTTCTACAAGCTCATTTAGGTATTCAGGGTCATCCGTTGGCAGTTCCAAATCTTTTACAATGTGTAGATCATCTTGAGCCAACTTAGCTGATAAAGTTGTAGTAAGGCCATATAATCTGAGGTGGAAGGGTAGCATGAAGAAATGGGTGGTACCAGAGCGAGGACCGTGTGCTATACCACCTCCACGGAATAATGGAGAACGAATTGACCCGTGGCGAGCGCGACCTAAACCCTTCTGTGGCCATGGCTTCCTACCTCCACCTCGCACTTCGGCCCTAGTTTTCGTATGCGCCCACGATACGAACCTAATGTTCCTTTGCCAGACAACATTCTGGTTAATTATGTCTATTCGTGGAGGAGCCGCGAACACCAAAGGATGGAGTTCAAATAACCCCAATTTTTGCTCTTCTACAGTATCCAAGTTTTCAATCCATACTTCACGGGGTTTTGTAAATTGGGGTTGGAAAGCCCAGTCTTTTTTAGTGATGGACAAATCGTTTGCGCTCGTTGTTGCAACAGCAGTGGCGTTTGATGAATATACCCTAATCTGTGGCACCACCGAAATGTGAAGTCTTTTGATAGCACTTATTAATGCAGAAGTCATGTTAAATATATTGCGAATTAGTTATTATACTAAACCAGAATATAAATTAAACGAAATTGTTAGATAACCTCAAAATGAAATCAAAACATCAGAAATTAAATTTGACGTTTTCTGTCATAGTGACATGGTGTCATGGCTGCGTTCCTTTCTTTGAGTAAAAATGATTCAATCAATTCAATCAAAGGTTTTTTTGCGATCTTTATAGTCCAAGATATATATTATGTGGCGTGGCGTGTCCCTTAAAAGCAAAAGGGCGGATAACTCGCTGTCAAAGGTATGACACCGGGGCGTCTTGTTGTGACACGACACACCATGCCATGGCAATATAGTTACCTTTTTCAGTTTCTGAGTATATTGTTTATTTCATTAAACCCCAAGCTAACGCACCGCTATTTGCGCACCTGTTGTTCTTTTTTTTTGTATCGAATGATCAAGATTAAAAGGGCAATGTTTTGTAATAAAGCCGTACCTAATCTTGGTTACAAATCATCGGCAGTTCTCAATAAGGTATCATCATCAGCCGGAAAACTTCCACTACTGGAAAAAGACCTCCCCTTAGCCATCCACGTCGCGGGCACGCTACCATAGCAGCGGTAAGACCCCTCTTTGAGGAGAGACGCCACGGCGTCCTCACCTTCCGTCTGACGCAGGTGCTTACCGGGCACGGCAGCTTCGGTAGGTTCCTGTTTCCAGCGGGAGGAAAAGCCCGAGTGTCGTCATTGTGAGGACCACCTAGAGGATACGGTGGAGCATACGGTAGCGGTATGCCCTGCCTGGGCTGAGCACCGCCGTATCCTCAGGGAAGTGATCGGCGGCGGCGACCTCTCGCGCCCGGCCTTAGTCGAGGCCATGGTGCGGAGTGAGAGGAACTGGGACGCCGTCTCCTCCTTTTGTGAAGCAGTCATGCTCGCAAAGAGAGAGGCGGCCCGCGTGAGGGAGCAATCCTCCTCCTCACGCCCCAGCAGCCGCAACTGGCGACACTACGGGCGTCGGGGATCGAGGGACGATCTCCGGCCACCGTAAGCACGGGCCTGCGGTCGGCGAGTAAGGGCAGCTCGCTGCCCGACCAGAACCAGGCCCGAGCGTACGGCGCGTAGCGTTTCGCGCGCGCCTCAAAGAGCCATTCGACCACCACAGACGGGGCCCTAAAGGGCTGATGTTCAGCCGGGGTTGCGGGGTAAGCGCAATGAGGTACCGCGACCTCGGCACAGAGCAGGAGAAGGAACAGGGGTGTTTTTAGTCAGTAAGAGTCTGACACTCCCTCCTGCCCGGCCCTGGGCGGGAGAAGTCATTTGATGATTTTCCCCTCACAATAAAAAAAAAAAGCCATCCACGTCGAACGACAAGTTGCCACATGCATCCATTGGCTCCCCGCAACTCTGACGATGTCGTCAGTCCACCAAGCGGGGGGCTTGCCCACAATCAAATGTATAATTATAATCAGGTGTAGGAATATTTAATTTTAACTTCAATATTACGCAAATGTACCTAGTTCTTACTTCAGAACATAGGTACCTAATATTTTTTAACATTCGTTCACGAAAACATCAGCAGAAAAATGAAAGATAGCATACTAAGTGGACGGTGTGTTCTGTTAGTTAGCTCAAACAACTCATTTTAGAATTAAGCAGAAGATCGCCTTAACTGTTTATGAGTAAATCTAGATATCTAGGTATAATAGTTATGCACGTCTACCAATTATGAAACTTGGCCACATAATAGTAGGTACTTTCTCGACATTACGCAATGGCACAAATTGAAAGTGCAGATTTGTGGCAATTTTCTTGGCGTGGTATTAATTACGTTACAGAGCTGCCGAGAGCAAGGAGCTCGTTTGGATCACTATATAGCACCATTACACAGCCCAATCTCAATTTCAATTTCATCTCGCCGATTTGGCTCTGAATTAGGGGCGATTTATTTTCATTCGTAACATTCTCTAGTGCCGTCGTAGAAGGTAAATGTTAAGGCTTGCACAGATTTATTGCTTTTCATGTGAAAGGTGACGGCTTCATTGTTACAATAGACAGGCATATTACTCTTTCAAACTAAACTTCTAATCTCGTTGCGCTCAGTCTTTTGCATTTTTTAACGGCCCCTAAAGATGACTTGGGAAACGTTCACGTGGACCGTGTAGGTAGCTGTCTGAAGGATTCTATTTTATCTTGTGATTGTTTTTAAACTAAGTCTTCGGTCAATTGAAATTGTTACATAGGTACTTAGAGCAAGATAAAGTAGGTATCTACATTAAGATACATATTTATGTAGCTTTTTTTGGCTGAAATGTAACGGAATTTCTGTCTCTGTCTGTATTAAAAGATCTGGAAGAAAAAGTTAATAACAATAATTAAGAAAAAGTTAGTAACAATATACCTAAATATAATAATATTCGTATTTATAAGTCCTTAAAAGGACCAAAAAATGTGCAAATCGTTTACTAGATTCACACACAGCTAGTAAAATTACATTACCTAGGTACTTTACTTACGTAGTCCGCAAAAGTGCTGACGTGTGGAATGAATTTCATATCAAAAGTGGAATGCATAATGTATTGAGTGTAGACTCGTTCGTAATAAACTGATATCGTTCAACAACCTTTGAGTACTGATGGTAGTGGCTACGTTCGATATTCATTGGAATCACTCACTGCCAAACGTCTTCTAGTGAGTGATGATGGGTTATTCTGCACTGAGCTTAGTATGAGCCCGAATTTCCGCAACAACTCGGTGAATAGTACCTTTGTCTAATGCGTCTGTGGCGAGTTTGTTATTACCTTTTAGATATTGATTTTTGTCAATTAATGATTGGAAGTTTGTACCTAACGGAACGTGGACGTGAAAACGCATCAGCACCTATTCTTTCTGTTTTTTTAATAAAAACACACTAGCATTTTCTCCTATGTCGTGGTAACGTTTACAAACATACAATTTTACATACACATAACATACAGACCCGGAACAATAATCTGTGGATCATACAAACAGTTGTTCCTTGCGGGAATCGAAACCGCGACACGTTGCCACGTTGCGCAGCAGCCAGTTGTCCAGCCACCGCGGCAATCCTGCAGTCATAATTGTTATAATTGTATAGATGAAATGAACATATTTCAATAAATAGTGACATTTTAAATTGATATTTTGCAATTAGAAATATACATTTCACTAAAATTAACTCATTTTCTGTTTCTGAACCAGACAAAGTTCGAATCATACTTGGGTTGGATACATTAAGACAGGTATCTGTTACTTTATAGGAAAAAGAGGAAGAATATTAATAATAGGTGTTTTTATCCACATGGATAAGTGAACATTTGAAATGTATGTATGAATTTATAAGTACCTAGACAAACTTTTTAATTGAACAGGTAAACAAATCACAATCAAAGTGTTTATTATTTGAATTAATTTTATTAAAATATTTTAGCCTTAGAATTTCTTTATTACAAGTTGATATTGTACTTTGAAGTTTAATTAAAAGCCTGAGGGCGTTGCTGTTAATTTGGGATTTCTCCGGTGTTTCACAGTAGCTATTTTGTTTCGATAGAACGTGATTAGTTTTGGCGATGCAGAAAATAGGGCTACGAACCAGTATTCCACAGAACTAGGTTTATACGACAAACTCGTGTTTTTGTGAATCCAACGGCAGGTTCCTTTAGGTACGTACCTACATTTCAAAAAGTCTACATAAAATGCCTACGCCATTCAAAAAAGTTTTACATTGGTTATTGGGAGTCAGAAATTAGGTCGAGCAAATTGAGTTTTCGATTTAGAAAGTCTCATTATCGGCAGGGTGTCTAGAATTGTAGGTACTCAACCCAGTTAGGTATTTATGTATATGTTCGCCTGTTTTGTTATACGTATGTATGTACTTAAGTAAGTATCTTTGTTGATCGTTCTGATTTTATTATTTACTAAGGTGTATGTAGTTGTTTTCTTTTTAAAAATAAACGTTGTCCCACACTAGGATTTTCTCCTGTGTCGGGGGTGGAGTTATAAACATACAATTTCACATGCACATGACACCTAGACTCGGAACAATTTGTGGGTCACACAAAGAGTTGTTCCGTCCAGGAATCGAACCCGCGACACGTTGCACGACAGCCAGTTGCCCAGCCACCGAATCAACCGTGCAGTCAAAAGTCATTAAAGTGATAATTATATATTTTCTTCTATTAAGTATGTTATTTTTATTGTAACTGTGGGAGAGTCATGCAGTCATTTTTCTGTACGAATGGGTAGGCTCGACCGGAATGATACCAACGCCTCACAGAAAACAGGTGTGAAACATCTACAGCGTTTTTTCATCGTGTGAGGTTACCGAAGGCCCAATCTTTCCCTTTCCCCAATCCTTAAATCTTCAAAACGCTAATCCCGTAACTTCTCCTTTATTGCGGGTGTACTTAGGTGGCTCCGATTGCTTAACACCAGGTGATCCGTCTGCTCCAATAATAACGTTAGAAGAGGTCCACTCTTTAATAAAGATCTGCCCCTTGAGTCCTAAGGGGTAGGTTTCAAGGCTTAAGAGAAGCACTTCGTAAGGTTGGCTGGTCGTACATTCATGTCCTAAAAGGCCTGATATTAAATTAAGTAAAAGTAATGAAGTTTTGTATTTTGAATGATGTAATGCGTTAGCTAAAGCGTGGGAGTGTTATAATTTATAGTAGCTCTTAATTGTTTTGGCTTCTGACGTTACAAATGCGGTAATTAATTTCTTAGTCGTGGTCTTCGTGCCTATATTACGAATCATTTTCGAGGTAAATATCTAAAAGGAAGAATGTTGAAAGTTATACTTAAAAAGTACGATGTTGGTTATAGTTTATGTAAGAATAGGAATCAAAATCTCTAATCTCAAATCCCCAACCGTAAAATCCATAACAATCCGCATAAGGCCTTATTTAAAACCCCGTTCCTTCTTCTGCTCTGCATCGCACTTGTAACTTCTATGTTGTGGGTGTCCATCTGTCCATTGGTAAAGCAGATTGCTTACGATGGCATCAGGTGATCTGTCTGCTCGATTGCAGATCTACAAAAATGGAACAAATGATGTATGAGGTTTATGTAATGTTTCGAGGGTGTGGGTTCGAAACCTGGCAAGTACCAATGTGACTTTTT